GAGAAATCCTCAATACCCTAGTGAGGAGTAACCAATCTTTGTGTCCCACCTAGTAAGGTATAAGTGAATCCACGCTGACCATTTCCTGTCTGATTCCAAGCTTTCCTTGTTGTTCTCTATTCTAGAGTTTTGTTTGTTTGTTTTGAGGGGTTTCTGGAGCGATCCTGATGGTCATTGCAAGAGAGGGTGGGGACCCAAGGTTGGAACCAAGCGAGGACCAGAGAAAGCTCCTCTCCTGAGTCCCCAAGGAAGTTTACTGTTCTTCTGTTTCTGCGGACTGCTCAGGGCTCCTGGCTGTTGTTCTGACGCCCTTGGATCCTGCGAGGAAGGATTTGGACTTCTTTCATCCCATGTGGTAGATCCAAGCGGGAGTGGATGACCTCAGAGTTCTTGGCCTCCGAAGGCACTCCAACTCCCTGTGGTCTCCTTGGCAGTTGGGATGTTGTCCTTGGTGCTCGTACTGATGGTCCTTGGTGAGAATCCGTGAGTCTTCAGGGTTGGGATACAAGCCTCCTCCTGTCCCCCTGCTCCACTCTGGGGTCCCCCTGCTCTGTGCATATGACCTCCTGTTAAGAGGTTGTCAGGATCGCTCTTAATTCCCCTTATATGTCTTTGTAGTTTAACTATTGTCTAATGCTGATTTGAGTCTGTTGTCTATGAGTTACCAGTTATGATCCTGGTAGGTTATATTTCACGTCTTCCTTACACATTCTAGGGAGATGGAAGATTTCTCTGCTCTCCCTCCCCACTATGGGATAACATAGGGTATTAAAAGTATATTAGGTTTTACAGTTCTTTGATGTAGATCATAAGCAGTCTGACTCACATTGATTGTTGGTTCATTGGTTACTTCACAATATCTTATTGCATGTGAGATAGGCTGTTTGAGGTTGAGATAATATTACATTTTATACCCCCATTTTTTTTAAACAGTAAAATAATCCTGAGCATCACCATCCACTTGATGGTTTACCTGCTCCCAGGTCTGATTCTTTCTTTAGGTTCCTCTGTCCCTCCAAAGTATGCTGCAGAGTTAGTTCTTGTTTACCCCTACCCCCTGGCTGCGTGGTTTATCCCCTCTTGCTAGCTGGCCATCCCTTGATGCTGCCCAGCCTCGTGCCCGTGGGCCCAGGGTTGCAGAGTCTGCAGTTGCTTCAGCCCATTCCTTGGAGCAATGCCACCTCTGCATTCTGATGTGTTCTGAATTAGGGCCATGGCTTGTGGGGACAACAAGTATCCCCATCATGGAGTGATGTCCCTGGCTGAAGACTGGAGGGGACTGCGGTCCCAGCCCTCTGACCTACCCTGCAGGGTGCCGGAGTCCAGCTCCAGCCGAGTTTAGAACTCGAGAAGGGTGCATGGAGTAGGTGTAGAGAGAAAAGAAATGGACCACTACGATTTCATGATCATAATGGACAATGCAAGAAAGCTGTCCCCTTTATTTATACAGAAGCAGTCACAAACTCTGGCACAGACTTTTGACGTCATGGTCAAGTGGGTGTTTCCAAGGATAATTCTGCCGTTTGTTTCACCTTAAAGCTCTCAGTAGACAGCACATAGCAATCAGTAACACATTCCAGCTACAGTCTTCATTCTACAGCTTAGTCTTGAATCAGTTAAGGGAGGAAATGCATCACAGAAGGAAGGACCTAAAGATCAAGGATGGTCAATGGGGGCAGCAGAGACAGGGACAGCATGAATGTAAAAAACCCTTCAACAACATCAACTTCCAAGCTCACACTGACAGTAAAGACCAACTCCGCAGTGGCAGACAATGCCTAAATAGATTATAGAATTCTCAGCGGGATGGTCCGGCATCCATGCAAGGGAGGTGGAACTGCCTTCAGGTGGATGCAGACACCCACCGGGCCCTGCCATGCAGCGGGACATTCCTTGTCGCCCTGCCTGCAGGGGAACAGTTCTCCACACACTTTCGTGTCTTCCACACCCATGGCACGGACCCCAGCAGCAGGGTGCAGACACTTGGGCCTGAGGGAGATGCTGGCTGTGTACCTCAGCTGCCTCACGCCGTAGCTGGTGCAGTCACAGCTTAGCTGTTGCATGTCCCCTTGGGAATTGCTGGCCTGCACTGATGTCCAGTCCCACAGTTGTTCAGGGGTTGCTGTTACTCCGTCCTGAGTCTGTAGAGGGGAGCAAAGGAGGCACCCTCTCAGAGCGGGTGGTGCCCCTGCCCATCAGCCCTGATGGCCGTGGGTAACTCTCTCTTTTCCTCCTCCTTCACCAGCCATGGCATGGAGACAGCGAGATTGCGGCAGCTGTGAGCAACAGGATGGTGGCTCCGACTGCCAGGCGAGCTTGTTCGGCCCCCTCTTGGTGGCTGAGTCGCCGACTGCTGTGGCATCCGAGGTCTGTGCCTCCTGCTGGAACCCATGTGAGGAAAGCACCTGCTCACCCATAAGCTGGCAAGGCCGCTGGGCCCCCAGGGACTCCAGCAAATTCTGGACAATAGAGAGCAGGCTGGACAAGACATCCCATGCCAGGTCACCCTGGCTTCAGGGTTGCCAGAGGACCAAGCTGGACTCAGCCCAGCGTGTTGGTGCTGTCGCTGCTTCTTGCCGGGGCCTGGCAGTTCGGCTTCCGCAGCCTGCATGGAGAAGACGTTTGGGAGACCCCCTGGACGGTGAGTAAGGCCCGATGCCCTGGCCCAGAGCCTGGGCCTATAGATACTGAGGAGACACAGCTCATGCTGTGGCCATCCTGGGGTGGGGCACAGACCTCCTTTTGGAGGGTAGAGGTGAGGCCCTGTGTCTGCCCACACATGGGAGGCCCGTACACACAGGACAAAGGGTGGCATATCTCAGGCAGTGGGCCTTCCAGAGGTCCATGGCCTGGGGTCCAGCCACTGTTAGTGGCAATGTCTCCTCAGAGGAGCCTTTCCTGAGAAGTGGCCTCACTGCCCACACAGCCAGGCCCTCCTGTTCCAAGGAGAGGTCAGCTCTACGAATCTGAGTGGGAGCTTGGGGGTGTGATCTCCCAGTGCCAGGCAGGGAGCCATGAAATCCAGAGGTTCCTAGTGGCAGTAGGTGGGGGCATGTGGCCCACAGCGTCTGGAGAGGTGGGAAAGATGGGGACCTGCCTTGCTGCCACCGTCCCTGAACATGAAGAGAAGGGCTGAGCCAGCAGACCGCCAGCTTGGCTTTGTTCTTGGGGCTCTGTTCAGTGCAGGCACTGCACTGCCATGTTGGTCTTGGCCCCTGGCTGCCGCCCATTGTGGGCTCCTGTTGAGCTTGGGCATGGGATGCCACTCCTGTCATGGGGAAGACTCAGACCAGCTCCTCCCAAGGCTCTGTTGCCTGGCATTTCTCATCCTTTGCCCTTGACCTCCACTTTCCAGGGTGCGTGTGCTGCTTCTGGGTTCTCTTGTCTGCCTCCTGCCCGAGCGCACCCCTCTGGCCCAGTGCTGCCCCTGCCAGGCTGCAACACTCATGCCTTCAGCTCCTGCTGACCTGTGGCTGAAGCCATCCTTCCTGCACTCTCGTGGGCCCTCTCCTGTGTGGGACTCAGACCCTGCAGCAGACAGCCAGAGCCAGCGGCTGCCATCCACTGCTCCCAGCACATCCCAGCAAGCACCTGCTGGGCCTCGGACTTGGCTCTGAGGCAATGCCTCCCAAGCCCAGCTCTCCCAGGGAGTGGTCCCAGGGCTTGTGTCAGACGGGAGCACTGGGAGACGGGCGAGGACAGTAAGTAGGGAAAGGCAGTTTAAATTGGACATCTGGCCTGAGGCTCACGTGATGTGGGTGGCCAAGGGCTGTGGTGGGGAACAATGTGTAAAGACCCCAAGGCAGGAGCCCATTTGGCAGGCGTGGCCGAGGCAGCGGCGCTGCAGCAGTGAGCCCGCGGCTGGTCACAGGCAGGATGCTCTGTGGTGAATCTGCCTCCCCAAGTCTGGCTGGCCACGTAAGGGTGAGCCAGTGGAGGGAAGATGGATAACTCACTCTCCTCCTGCCTTTCAAGTAAGATGAAAATATGGAAACAGCTGAAATAAAGCCTGGGGGGAGGGGTCAGCATTGTGTAGATTGTGTAGTAGATATGGGCCACGTGGGTACTGGTTCATGTTCCGGCTGCTCCACTTCCCTTCCAGCTCCCTGCCTGTGGCCTGGGAAAGCAGTCAAGGACGGCCCAAAGCCTTGGGACCCTGCACCCACGGGGGAGACTGGCAGAAGAATTCCAACTGCAGCCTGGCCCGGTGCCACCTTTACAGCCATCTGGGCAGTGAGCCAGTGGATGTGAAACCTGTCTGTCTCCCTGCCTGTCTACAATTCAAAACACACTGGAAAATGGAAAAAAGGTAAGTTCATTGTGGTGCAGAATAATTTTGAAATTCATGCAGGATTGTTTTACTAACACATATTTTTCATTAACTGGTGTGAAAGTTTCATGGCTTTCATAATCGTTTTGCACCAAAATAAATGCATTTCTAGTTGTATTTTCCTTGCTTTTTGACGTCCCTCACGACTGGGAGATGTTCATAGTGCCCATGCAGGCAGGTGGCCCAGCTGACCTGCATCACTGTCCCTGAAACCTTTTCGGTGACTTCTTTGAGCTGGAGCTGCTGCAGGCACATCCGCCCTAGCTGAGACCTAGAGGGTGGCCCAGCAGCCACCCAAAGCAGTTGGACAGGCTCACAGAGCTGTGTCGTGCGGGGCACCTGGCCAGTGGGCTGCAGGCAAAACTGTGGGGCCAGGACTTGGGGCCCAGGGAGATTCCCAGGGGGAGGAAGCCGGTTCACTCCGGATTGCCCATAAAGCTGGCCACTGCCTGGAGCAGGGCTGGGCTGTGTGGGTGGAGGCAGGGACCTCAGAAAAGCTCTGGGTTGGAACCCTGGCAGGCCCCTAGAGGGGACGCCCCACGTGGACTGGTCTTTACCGAAGTGACAGGGCCTTCGCTGCTGCACAGCGCTCTGAGCCTGGCTTAGTGGGCACCCTGACTCTTGTCCTGTCACCCTTGTTGTCGCTTGCAGGGGATGGCTGTGCTTGGGGAGATGGAAGCTGTTTGTCTCTCACATGTGGACTGTGAAGCCGCTGTGATTAGCATAGGGAAGAAAGGAGGTAAGATGGAGAAGCCGCAGTAAATTGGAGTTCCTAATAAATGTAATGAATTCAGCAGGTGCATTCACCGGGCCAGCCAGCTGCAGAGGGTCAGGGCATGGGAGGTGGGGCCCTGCTCACCCTCCACCGACCTCCCGCCTCAGGTGGGGAGGTGGCGTGCCCTGGAGGTGGCTCTGTGCCTGAACCCTGTGGGCATGGCACACTGCGCACTGTCAGGCAGCTGCCCGTCTCCCTGGTGTGGACATTATAAATGGCTTTTCAAACAGACTTCACCTGTGGCTCTCCAAGGAGAAATGTGTGGCCTGGGGCAGGGGGAAGCCTGGCTACAGAGGGTCTCCAGCTGAAGTGAGCCTGTGGCTTTTGTCTGCACTTGAGGTGTGTGGAACTGAGGAATTTTCCAGCTTCAGTTAATGCCTACTTGATAATGAATAAAAAAAATGCACAAGGGCTGGTGAGCTGAGGCTGGGTCTCGGGCCAAGGGCAGCACGTCAGGCCGAGTGGTGACTGTCGGCTGTTCGGTCACTGGGTACAGGGTGGATGGGAGTCAAGTTGCCACAGATGCTGTCCCTCCCCCTCCCTGCACCCTCAAAAGATGCTGCTGGGTACCCTGAAACTCCCTGTGAAGTCACGCTCACTGCCCGATGTCCCACGTGGATGCCCAGCATCCACCTAGCTGGGCTCTCTGAGGACAGGGTTTGCCTTGGCAGGCTGAGAGGAAGAGGACCTTCCTGACATGCCCAGGTGGAGGACAGCTCTGGCGGGTGGCCTGGCATGTGCCCTCTGCGCTCCAGGGCTTTGGGACAAAGAAACACAGTCCTTGCTTCAGGGAACTTGTGTTCTGGTCCAAAAGCTGACCACCAGCATACGCAGGAAATGAGCAAAGCAAAACAAACATGGACATGGGCCACCACCCCCTGGGTTCCGTCAGAGGTCTGGGTTAGCACGGCCCCTCTGGAGAGATGTCATCTGGCCTGAGGGCCCTGAGCTGCCTGGACAGAGTGAACGGTGTGAGCTGAGATCCGGGAGCAGAGGGCAGCATGCCCTCAGCACGTCTTCGGGACAATGAGGAGGTAGTGACAGGTTGTAATCCATGGCTGACAGATCCAGCTGGGTGTGTGGATCACAGGCAGTTTGTGGAAGCAGGGGTCATGTAAGGGCGGTTGACAGCTGCTGTGGCTGAGGACAGGGCGGCCTTAGGATGCTCAGGCCCATCCCAGGTATCTGACATCTGGGCAGGAAGGCCATGGGTATAGTCTGGCTCACTTGGTCACAGCAAGATGCCCGGCAGATGCTGAGGGAAGATCCCTGGCACGGTGTAAGTCTGGACAAGCCCCTGCCCGGGAATCCGTCCCTGCGAAGGCCACAGGGCCCCCTCTGCTGCAGCTGCAACTCTTTCCTCCCCCACATCCACTTGGCCGCTGCCCTCCTGCCTGCTCCCTTCCCTCACCACCGAGGTGCCTTCTCAGCTGCTAACCTGGGTCTTGACGGTTTTGTTTCTTGTCTTTCGTTTTTTGAATTTATTTATTTCCAAGAGCAGTAGATTCAGGGAGAGACAATCTGCCATTTGCTGTTTTTTCCCCAAAGTAGCCACATAGCTGGGGCTGGGCTGGGCCAAAGGCAGGAGCCAGGAACTCTATCTAGGTCTCCCATGTGGGTGGCAGGGGCCCAGGTTGGTCTTCCCCTGCCTTCCCAGGCGTACGAGCAAGGAGCTGGAATGACAGAAGAGCAACCAGGACTCAACCCAGTCTAGCGTCTCAGGTGGTGATATTTTTTTAAAGATTTTATTTTTATTGGAAAGGCAGATAAACAGGAAGATCTTTTGTCTGATGATCATTCCCAAGCGGCCGCAATGGCTGGAGCTGAGCCAATCCGGAGCCAGGAGCTCCTCTGGGTCTCCCACTCGGGTGCAGGTCCCAAGGCTTTGGGCCGTCCTCAACTGCTTTCCCAGGCCACGGGCAGGGAGCTGGATGGGAAGCGGGGCCACCGGGATTAGAACTGGCGCCCATATGGGATCCCAGCACATTGAAGGTGAGGACTTAGCCACGAGGCAATCGCACCGGGCCCTCAGGTGGTGATTCAACTCACTAAATCACAACACCTGCCCCAGTATCTTCATTTTCATCATTAACTTCTTTGTTTGTAAAGATTATTTACTTTACTTGAAAGACAGAAAGACAGAGGCAGGAGAGAGGAGATAGATAAGACAGATTAGATAGAAATAATATCTTAGTTTCTAGGTCACTCCCCAAATGGCTGCAGCGGACTTAGTTGGGCTGGTCTGAGGCCAGGAGCCAGGAGCTTCCTCCGGGTCTCCGTGTGGGTGCAGGGCCCCAGCACTTGAGCCATCTCCCGCTGCCTTCCCACGTGCTGCCTTCCCACGTGCATTAATAGGGAGCTGGATCCAAGGTGGAACAACCGGAACTTGAACAGGCAGGCCGTGTAGGATGCCTGTGCTGCAGGCGGGGGGTCGGCTTGCCGGGCCTCTGCACTGGTCCCCAACATTCACTTCTTGTTATATTTTTGAGGAATATTGCATTCCATCTATTTGTGTGGCTTAGGAAATTTTTTAAAATTTGTTTTAGATTTATTTTTATTATTTTTTCATTGGAAAGGCGGATATACAGAGAGGAGAGACAGAGAGGAAGATCTTCCGTCCGATGATTCACTCCCCAAGTGAGCCGCAACGGGCCGATACTATGCCGATCCGAAGCCAGGAGCCTCTTCTGGGTCTCCCACGCGGGTGCAGGTCCCAAAGCTTTGGGCCGTCCTCGACTGCTTTCCCAGGCCACAGGCAGGGAGCTGGAAGGGAAGCAGGGCTGCCGGGATAGAACCGGCGCCCATATGGGATCCCGGGCATGCAAGGCGAGGACCTTAACCACTGCGCCACCGCGCCGGGCCCAGGAATCTTTCAATATGTTCTAAAGCCGAGAGTTACATACTGAACCTTCATGTAACTGTCATTAGCGTCTTGAAGCAAACCCCAGGCGATGCATTTAAATATTTCCCAATGTTTAAATTTTTTTTTTTATATCAAAGAGATGATAGATATTTCCCATTCATGGATTAAATGCCCGCAGCAGCCAGGGCTGGGCCACACTGAAACCAGGAGCACGGAGCTCCACCTGGGTTTCCCATGTGCCAGGGAACCAAGGTTTTGCACCAACACCAGCTGCCTCCCAGGGTGTGCGTTAGGGTGCTTGCCTGGATGGCAAGCAGCTGGGACTTGAACCCAGGCACTTGGTGTCTGGTTTGTGGGCACCAACCCCTGCCCTGACACATTTCACCGCATTAGACGCGTGAGCACAGGCGGTGCCATCAGCACCCCAGGAGCACGGTACTGCCGTGACTTCCCTGACTGATCATTAAACAGGCATCTGCCCGCTTGATTAAAGGGTCATTGTTCCTCATGAGCCCAGTCACTGATTGACGTGCCTCAGGTCACACTTAAATTGGTAGCCCTGCGTGCTCTGTGCCCTCACCTCTCTTGGCACGGGGTGAAGAGGCTGTCCTTTGTGCTGGGTGCCCCGTGCCTCGGCCTCCGGGCAGGTCTGATCAGATTTGGGATTGCTGTGTCCGGGACCGGGAGGCGTGCCCGGGTGTCAGCTGGGACACCATCTGAGAACCTGCCTGCACTTGCGAGGCGCCTGGCAGTCTGTGGTACGTGCATGTGCGGACTGAGACTGTGGATGTCATGCAAGCGGTTGTGTGTGTGGTGAAGGCCAGAAGGGCTCTTCTGCAAGCGGGCTGGGCGGCCCCAGAGGCCCGTGGGCCTGGAGTTTGTCAGCTCAGCACGCTTAGCTCAAGGTCACGGATCCTTGGTTCACCGACACAGGAACCGACGTGTCCTGTCCAGGTGACCCAGGGCAGCCGCTGACGTCAGGGGCCCGTGCGTGTGCTGTGGAGGACTCTGCTCGTTCCATGGGGGTCATTGTGGCTGGTGAACAGTCCCCGTGGCTTTGCAGACTGGGCCTCGTGGCGGGAAGCACGCCTGCTGTTGGGACGAGAGCTGCCTGAGCCTGGTAAACAGACGGCTCACTGTCCCTCAGCACGCAGCAGGACCGACCAGTCCTGTGCCCTGTGACGTGTAGGCTTCTTGTCCCAGCACCCCCTGCGTCCCCCTCACCCCACCCTGCGTACTGGCGTTGAGTGGGGCCTGCATGGCACCCAGTGTGTGTTGGATGTTTTTCTTCACCCTTTGCCACGGCTCAGGTGTCAGTGAGCCTCTCCTTCCCCTTCCTGGGCATTTGACAGGTTTACTTGGAAAGGAAGCTGCGGCTCCTTGGGCCCAATGGACACCGGCTCACCCCAGCCAAGATGGGCCCAGCTTTGCTCCTGTGTGTGCCCTCTGCCCTGTGGGTGTCATTCTGGGGAGTGCTGGGCTTCCTCTGGCCCCCCTGGAGTCCCGTCTCGGGGCCCAGCCTCAGCACGGGAGGAACAGCACTGGGCTTGGCTGTGGTTTGCCAAGGCCAATGACGTGGGCCGAGGGGCGAGGCGCAGCGCTGGCGTTGTGCTGATGCTTTGAGGCAGGGCTTGTGGCCTGGGGAGCTTTGACTGTTGCTGCTGGCAGGTGTCTGAGGGCATAGGGAGGAAGGTGGAAGACGTGTGACAGTTCTGTCCCTCTGACAGGTGGGGTCCTGTTGCTTCACTTGGTCCTCAGGAAGGCAGGGAAGGCCTTGTCCCATTGGAAAGGTGAGGACACCTGGACAGGCCCCATGCTCCTGACTCCAGGCCGCTGCTGGAGAGGCCTAACTCCCCACGCCACAGCTGCTGGCTGGAGGAGAGGACAAGGCTGGCCCAGGGCACGCCAGAGACCAGGAGGGACTGGCCCCTCCATGGTGAGCCGAGTGCTGTGGCTGCCAGTGTGGTGCCCCACCTCCACCCTGCCCTCTAGGATTTCTGTTCCTCTGCTGGGACAGGAAAGTGCCTAAGTCAGAGGCAGACGCCTGTGCCAAATGTGCCTGGGGTCTGGGTTCATGTTGCAGGTGCCAAGTGGGAGGGACAGACCAGCAGGCCTTTCTGAAGGGGCTCCTGGGAGTTGGCCACACGGGAACATGTGAGCACCCACTGCCAGAGCTGTCCACCTGCAGCTCTGGACGCAGCAGGCTCCCACAAAATCGTCTCGTGGTTGGCTGACCCTCACCACCACCTACATCCTGTTTCACTACTGGCTGGCCAGGCAAGCCATGCCACTCACTGACCTCTGCCACCCCGCTTCTGCTAAAGCACCCACTCAGTATTGAGACGTTTTTCTGAAGTTTTATTATTATTTTTTCAAGGCAGAGTTAGGAGGAAACAGAGGATGATGCTCCATCTGCTGGTTCACTTCCCAAATAGCCAGAGTGGCTGGAATTGGGCTGGTCTAAAGTTGGGAGCCAGGAGCTTCTTCTGGGCTTCCCACGTGAGTGTGGGGGCTCAAGCACTCGGACCACCCCCCAGTGCTTTCCTCGGTGCATTAGCAGGGAGCTGGACCAGCGCCCTGTGGGACAGCACTGCAGGAGGCAGCAGCTTAGTTGACCATGCCACAGTGCTGACCTCCAAGATTCGTGCAGGTTTCTGCTAGGCTCTTCCTTCCCAAGGACAAGCCAGCCCCCCACCCTCCCACCCCCTGTGGGGCAGTGCTTTCCCAGGAGGGGCAGCACCCCAGAAAATGCCACGTTCCCATCCCTGGAACCTCGGATTAATCTGCAGGCAGGTGTGGTTAAGGTAGGGCTGGCGCGAGGGAGCATTATCTGGGCAGATCCTACACGCAGCCTCATCTTGTAAGACAAGAGCTGATCCTGAAAGGATTAGACGGTGATGGGAGGGAGGGCCGTAAGCTGCCCTGGCCTGCAGCCCCCAGGACTGAGCAGGTGAGCTGCTGTGGAATCAAGCCTCGGATCTGTACGGGAAAGACACAGGTGGGAAGGCCAAAGTTCCCAAATACCTGGCCCGCAGGCTGGTGGACATGGACCCCTGGACCTAAACGTAGTCCCATGTAAGGAAGCCCCCTAGTGAGGACCCTTCTGTGAGCTCCCAGGGAAAGGGCCCATGTGAGGGGAGTACAAGTGTCTGGCCTGCTGCAGCTTCCATAACCAAGTGCAAACACGGTTATCAGGTGTATTTAGCAGCAAGGAGCTGGTGCTGTTGAAATCGGTTGAGTGGGAAGGCCACACAGATAGCACCATTGTTCCCTGCTGTCAGGTGAAGGGCACCCACCTGGAGGGGGTGTGGCCACAGTCACCAGAACCTTTTTTAAGCCCTGGGTGGACGGTGCTGCCTTGCAGGCATCCTGAGCCCAGCACATCTACTGGGGCCTTGGGGTCAGCTTTGTGCAGAGGCCTCCCTTGGTGAACTGATAACAAGGAGTATTTCAGATCCCTGACAGAGCTCCTTGTCTGCATTGTCTCAGGTGAGCACTGGGCTGGCAAGCCCTGCCCTGTTGGAACCCATGTGGGGGGCTGGGAGCAAGGGTCTCTGATGTGCACCTCCCTAGCCTCAGGGGACTCGGGCGCCCACAGCCCCACTGGCCGGTGCTGGCTTCCTGGTGGGCGAGTGAGAAACCAGGGGCCCTGCTTTGCATGTGGGCAGAAAGACTCAGGGTCCTCATGTTCTAGCATAGGACTTCCCCGGGGAAGGGCAGTGTCTCATCACCTGCTTCCCTCCACAGCATGAGGGGTGTGATGCTGATGTGGGCGCTGCTCGCCCTGGCTGGCCTGCAGGTGGCCAGCTGTCTGAAGGTTGCAGCCTTCAACATCCGGACCTTTGGGGAGACCAAGATGTCCAATGCCACCCTCGTCAACTACATTGTGCAGGTCAGTCTGGGGCCTGTCCCCCAGGACAGAGGCACCACAGGGGAGGGGCAGAGGCTCCCTGCTTTGGCTGGCAGGTAGGTGGCTTGGTGTCTGTGGGCAGCCAGTAGGGCCAGCCCATCAGGTGCAGCACCCATAGGACCAGGTCCATGGTTTTGTGGCCCGTATCCCAACAAGGCCTAAGGCTTCTGCCAAATGGGTACAAAAGTGCCCCAGAAACCCACGGGGCCGTGTCCACTCAGCCCTGCTGTGACCCACCTGCAGATCGTGAGCCGCTACGACATCGCCCTCATTCAGGAGGTCCGAGACAGCCACCTGACAGCTGTGGGGAAGCTGCTGGACAATCTCAACAAGTGGGTGACAGGGGTGGGTGCCGGGGGGGGGGGGGTAACTGGTCTCGGCAGCTGCTGTTCCCCTCAGCTGAGCCTTCCATTTCTGAACCCCAGGAATGCAGCAGACACCTATCGCTACGTGGTCAGTGACCCCTTGGGGCGCAGCACCTATAAGGAGCGCTACCTCTTCGTATACAGGCAAAGTCCGGGTGCCAGCACGGGTGGGGAGTTCAGATGCCGAGGCCCGAACTCAGACCTGGCCTTTCCTGCTGCCCTCCCAGGCCCGAGGAGGGGAAGGGACAGCTCCTCGCCCAAGGTCACCTGACTTCTGCTCCTTTGACTCCCTGCAGGCCTGACCAGGTGTCTGTCCTAGACAGCTACTACTACGACGACGGCTGTGAGTCGTGCGGGACCGACACCTTCAGCCGGGAGCCGGCCATTGTCAAGTTCTCCTCCCCAAACACAAGTAAGCGCCGCTGTGTGTGGCCCGAGTCCCTCTGGAACGTGGGCTGGAGCAGGCCTGGAGCAGGGATTCCACACTGACCTCGGGTCTGCCGTCCCCCGGCAGAGGTCAAGCAGTTCGCCGTGGTGCCCCTGCACGCAGCCCCCGAGGACGCAGTGGCCGAGATTGACGCACTCTATGACGTCTACCTCGACGTGCAGAAGAAGTGGGGGCTACAGGTGAGCCTGGCCGGGGCGGGGACTCAGCCCCACCTCCGTCCGGAGCAACAAGTAGGTGTTTCCTGACAGGACATCATGTTGATGGGTGACTTCAACGCAGACTGCAGCTACGTAACCTCCTCCCAGTGGTCCTCCATCCGCCTGCGCACCAACTCTGCTTTCCAGTGGCTGATTCCTGACTCTGCAGACACCACCGCCACCTCCACCAACTGTGCCTATGACAGGTGAGCGAGCAGGAGCCTGGCTCCTCCCCGAGGCCTGGTTTTTCTCCAGAGCAGCCACTGGGTAAAGACAACGTCCAGACCACTAGGAAAGAGTGCCTGGACAGGAAGGGTGCAAGGCCTCTTGTTCTGCCGCCCACAGAATCGTGGTCACAGGAACTCAGCTCCGAGGTGCTGTTGTTCCCAACTCAGCTGCTCCCTTCAACTTCCAGACTGCTTACGGACTGAGCAGCCAACTGGTAGGTGTCCCGCCTGGCCTTCCCCTCATCTCCTCCTGGGCAGGTGGGAGCAAGAGGGAAACTGCCTGTATGTGTTCTCACAGGCCCAGGCCATCAGTGACCACTATCCTGTGGAGGTGACTCTTGCCTGAGGCCTGCGAGACTGGACCTGGAGAAGCCTGCACAGAGGGGGAACGGGTAGAGGGACACACACTTTTAATTAAGGGTAATAAAGAGGGTGGTGAGTGCATGCTGTTGCCTCCTTCCTCCCGGGGAGTGGAGCCACCGGGCGCCGTCCCTCCTGGGCTCTCAGTGCCGCTCCAGCGCTTTGACGAGAAGCTCGTTGAGACGGCCCACCATGGGCCTGGGGTCGTCCACCAGTCCTGCCGTGATCATGGCGTTCTCATAGATCTGGAAGGCAGGGCCCCATTGCAGCCTTTAAAACCCGCCAGCAGAGCATCGCTCCCCACCAAGGCCCACGCAGGACCCAACGCCTCTTACCTGATCCACGAGCAGCTGGGCCAGCTCGGGCTCACTTGCTGTCAGCTGCTTCAGCTTCCTGATGAGCGCATGCCTGCAACACAGAAGCCACCAAGGGTAGCCCCTGCTGTGCTCAGCCCGACACATCTGTCTACAGAGAGGTACTGGGTTCCCACCCTGAATCCATCCCAGAACAGGCCCCATTTTGCACATTTATAGCCTGGGTACCTAAATTTTCCTGAACTCATACATAACCACATTACCAGGTAATTAAAAAAAAAAAATTCTTACAGGCTTCTTTTAGGGGTGAACATTGGGGCATAGCAGGCTAAATTCAGCTGGGAAATGAACTCTAAATTATCCTTAACAAATAAGCTAGCTGTACACACCTAAACAAATACAGTGTAAAACCTGTATAGGGAAACAGCTCTGGAAGAACAGGCACAAGGGGAGGCCCTGGATGGTGAGACAGCACCAGTTCCACCCAGAGTGCCAGGGAAAACGAGCTGCTATTTTACTCTTTCCTTACAGCCAGAAGGATCAAATACCAAAGATGAAACTTCAGGCAGCCAAGAAAGAACAGGATCTGTCTAGCACGAGTGCTTAGGCTCAGGAGCAAACATGTGGGGACAGTGCTGGCCTCGTGCCACCCAGGGACAAGAGTTCCCCGGGCGACGGCGGGAAGCCCATACCTCTGTCACAGGTTTGAACTCACTGCTGCTGGAATTGTGAATGACCCAGAGTTAACCGAATGTGAAAGTCCTCTGGTGGGGCTCTCCAACACAACTAGTTTGCCAGAATTGGGGTGAGCACGTGGCTGCCCTGAGGACTTGGGCCCCCTTGACCACAAGGTCACCCACATTGTGGGGCAGTTCCTGGCTTCAGCCCCGTCCTGGGAGACATGGCTGGCAGGGGAAGCAAGCACCGGATGGAGAATACTCAATTCTCCCTCTTTAACTAAACTTCCAAATGAATAAAAATGTCCTTGCAAACACTTGCTGAGCATGGAGACCTGTGTGTGGGCAGCAAAGGCCCAGCAGGCTGAAGCAGGCAGAGCGGCCACAGCCAGAAGTCCGCGCTGGTGACCTAGAGAAATGCTCTTACAGTTCAGAACTGCTCTGCAAGGTCAAGAAGGTACAGGATGGGGACGGGAGACTGTGGCTCTGGGGGTGCTGAAAACCTAGCTTGGCCTGCAAAGGCAGCTAGGATGGGCCCGGTGTTGTCTCCTGGTGGCACCGTGGCCATGTTGGGAGTGCAGCAGTGGATGAGAGGGCTGTCCGGTAAATTGTCATCTTACCTTTCAAAAAGATGAATCTTAAAAATCTTGGGCGACATAATGCTTGAAGTACAGCCTAATATAGTGTGACTACCAGGGGCTCCTCTGCGCATGTCCATCCGACCACACAGCCTTAGCTGTGGTCACACTGCCCTGGGCTCACCTGGGGTTGATCTCGAGTGTGGGCTGCAGGAGCTGGGCGCGCTCCTCCTGGGTCCGGGCCAGCTGCTGCATGCGCAGGAAGTGCCTCGCGGCTCCCATCTCCAGCACCGTCACCATGGCAGGGTGCGTGTCCAAGCGCAGAGTCACCTGCAGGCAAAGGGTCGGGGGGCTCAGCCAGATGAACTTGCCGACTTCAAGGTAGGAACAGCCCTCCTGCTCCCCCATGCCACCAGTCCCCGCACCCAAGGCTGAATCCACAGCAGCCAACGTGTGCCGCCCTCAGCTCTGAGGGCCCCAGCATGGCCGCGGCCTAACTTGCAGGTCCTGTGAGGCCTCTCGCCTGCCTGGCCTGCCTGGCTCTCGCCAAGAGACTTACTGACAGGCCCACAACGTGACCTAGAGCAGACAACCTAGGCAGGTCACCCAAGGCCTAACGAGGAGCCATCTGTACGAGGACCCAGCTGCATCCTGGAACCCGGACACAGAGCTTGGCTCATTCCACCTTGCGTGCCTGCGCACCCTTCTCTGCCCTGAGCTAGCAGCCGAGCCCGGCGCCGGGCCACGTGAGCCCATCCTGGGGAAGGCCTCACCTTCACGTTGGCAACACGAGGCCCCAGAGCATTCCGCATCCAGGCCATCAGTTCCTCGGCGTCCTTCTCTGAGAGCCGTGCATCAGCTGTGGGAAAGAGGAAGGGCACGCGTGAGCTCCCAGGGCGCCTCAGCCCCGACGAGGCCTTGAGGGGCCATAGAAGTAGTAGCCCTGGAGGGGACCCCAGGATCCAGCTGTTCCCTCGCTAACCCGAAGTGCTCAGCTCAGACAGCGACTGTGAGGGTGGCCCCAGCTCCAGCATGAGAGCCTGTGGGGACCCAGCAGGGCAGAAGGGGCCTGGGTGGAAGGAGAATCAGCCCTGGCCCACCCCACCCTCAGGGCACCTCCCACGCTGGTGGGGGGCAGACCTGGGGACGCGTCCTCGAACTTCTCCTCCTTGTAGTGGTCAACGACAATGTCTGTTTCCACGGAGATGAGCTTCTTCCTGTCAAACTCACGCAGGTGTAGCAGGGTCAGCTCATCAAACTGCTCATAGCAGAAGAGGACCTGTGGATGCCGGACATGTCCTGAGGACATGGGAACCACTTCGGGCACTGGGCTCCTGAGCTGCGGGGGTGTGATGGGGTGGCACACCAGAAGGCTGGCAGGGAGCCCTGCTGGTCCATCAGCACCCACCCTCAACTCACACACCTCTCAGCACCCTCTAATAGAGCTGCCGGCTCACCCACCTCTGTGTGTTTCTGCTTCATGGCCTCATAATAGGGTGAGTGCTCGGCCAGGTGCCGGTTGGGGGCACACAGGTAGTAGATGTTGCGTGTGCCAGCCTGCATGCGGCTGGCATAGTCCGTGAGGCTGGTAAGTTGGCCGGCGGGCAGCGCTGATGACTCGTAACGCAGCAGCTTCGCAATGTCCTCCTGCACAGACCAGGACTGGCTCACACGCTGCAGGGCGCTGGCCTAGCCCACTAGGCTAGGGAGGACTCGGGCATCTTTGGGCCCCTCCCCAGGGAAGTCCCACATCTCTTCAGCTTCCTCCCAGCCAGGGAGGGACAAGGCCCAGTGGGATTTTGAGCTGACAGGGCCACCAGGCCGGAGCCTTTGGCTCTGCCAGGCGTGACACAGAAGGACAAGGATCAGGTAACAAAGTGACATGCCCAGGATTCCCGATGGTCAAAGCAGGGGCCCAGAAGGATCCTGGACCTGGGGCAGGGCAGACGGCACCCAGGCTGCATTTTCTGCTCTGGGTTGTATACAAGCACGGGCCCCACGGGGGCAAACATTGTTAGCAGGCTCTGGGAGGAGGCTGCCCCGGGCAGGGACTCACACAGCAGGGTCCATCCAGACAAGCCTGCACAGTGACGGCAGAGTAGCCAGCAGGGCCCAGGGGAGGACCAGCCCAGGCTTCCCCAGCACCCTGCAGCCACAGTGCTCTCTCCTGGGGACCCACAAACTGGCTGCCCTCCTTCCCACACACTGCGTGGGGGCAGAGCTGACAGACACACCTCCTCCGGGGGGTGGGCATTACCCGGAACCTGAGGTGCTGGCTGCTCAACAGAGCCCACAGAACACACCCTTCCACCTTGAAAGATCACCTGGTGACTGGAGGATTACATGGCAACAATAGACAGCAGCATTTATGGGGCAGAGAGCAGCCGCTGGGTGAACAAAGCCCTGGGCCCCTACTCCCGGTGTCTAGAATTTCCACTGCTGACAAAATCACCTCCCCTGCCCTGCCCCCTGCGACCTGTCCACACCCCAGTGTCCTAAGAGGAATGGTGTGCTCACCCCTTTCCCACCTGTGCTCGGGGCAGTGTGCTTGGGGACAAGCATAGAGTGCTCTGAACCTGACTGGCCTGTGGCAGCCACCTCCTGCCCCATGTGCCTAGCCCCAGCAGGAGCCTGGACATGTGGCTGCCCACAGCCTCAGGCCGGCCCTACCTTGACCGTCTGCTCCGCCGTGGTCACGATGCCTTCCCTCATGAACAAGCCATAATCATCAAAGAACCGGGCGTACTTCTCAGTGTCCTTCTTGCTCTGGTCAATGAAGAACTTGATGAGTCTCTGCTGCAGAACGTCCCGGAGTTTCCTAGAGGAGAGTGTGCGGTGTCCATGATACCCACATCACCCTGACCCAACTGACATGCCAAGCAGAGTGAGCCGGGCCGCTTCCAGCGGGAGGCAGCCGGGAGCAGTGCCACCTAGAGGCGGGAAAGGATGCTCCCCATGGTACATAAAACAAGAAAATTACGAGCCATTTTAGCACCCAACCGGAGAGAACAGGATAAAAAATGGTGAGGGGCCAGCACGGTGGTGCGTAGAGTCCAGTTCCGGCTGCTTTGCTTACAGCCCAGCTTGCTACTGAGGCACCTAGGAAACAAGTGCAGGACCCAACATAATTCCCGGCCCCACCCTGGCTGTCACAGCTATGTTGGGAATGAACCAGCTAACTGAACATCTCTCCTGGTCTGCCACTCTGCCTTTCATATAAACATATCTCTAAATCAACCAAAAAACCCTGCTGAAAGTCATCAGTGACAGGAGAAAGTGGGACAGAAGAGAAGCCAGATACCCGCAGAGCTGCACCCGGCCCACAGAGGCAGGCTGTGGGCACTCTCCACTTGGCTTCAGCACTGGACAAGGTACCTTCACCACGCAATACCAAGGCCATGCTGCCCACAGCTGCTGAGGCCCCACACACAGGCCCAACGTTAACAGTAACTGTGTGAGGTTAGTTCTGCTTTTACTTTAGTTAACATCTTTCAAGAAGTTAAAATTAGAGACAG